ATATAATATAGGTCTTAATTTTATCAAATTTATCATATATCTATTATTAGACATTCTAATATTTTTAATGACAAGAAGTTTTGATTTTCCTTTTTCTCATATATATATATATATATATATATATAAGAGAAGACATATTGGAAGCTATCTGTCAGAAGAAAAATTAATTAGCGTTTAGCTAAGTATAGACAGAGTATTATATATTTATTATGAAGACTAAGAGTCCAAGGACAATATCTCCTGCGATTTGGCCAAAGGGCAGTGGAATGTGCTTGTAAATTATGCGAGCTGCAAATCGAGCTGCACCAAATGCTAGTGCACCACCCAGAAATGAAGCAAATCTTCTGTTTAAACCCATGCTTAGAGTTCCCCCTTCAGGATACCAAAAACAAATTAAGGGAGGTTGAAAGCATGACTTGGATTTTTTTTTTTTTTTCAAAAAGCTATATAAATACTCAGATTGAATGGAATTTACCTGCTGTGAATTCTGATACAACAACCACAGTCATCACTGCTCATATTCCATTCAATCTAAATTTATTGAATAATTTGTTTTCATAGTATATTAAGGAAACCAAGGTGATAGCGACAGCCACTTTGAAGGAGTGCATGTTATTCTCGGATCATCTTTTCCTAGCTGTACGTAGCTGTTTCCGATGGAAGAAATCATGCTTTTTAATTTGCTCGGCCGTGCCTTGACCAATGAATTTTCTTGAGCATTTAACTCCATCCCCGAAAATGCACTGGAGGGTTCTGTTTCTCTCCAGCACAATGCATTTATATGGGGGTAGTAGAAGAACAGATATGGAATCTACCAAGACTATTATGTGATTGGCTAGCATTGAAACCCTCTAGAACGACAGAAAAATAGGACTGTCATGCTTACGGTTTAATAGCATTGAAACTCTTTTAATGCACATGTCCAAATGGATATAATTTGGATATACAAAGGGAGACATGTCCGAATGAACATGAACTAGATTGGAAGGGACATGAATGTTTAAAGATGATCAAAGGCATCTAATGATCAAATGACTTGATCAAAACAATCAAGGGATATGGCTTGATTAAAGTCATGGAAAGGTACCTTTTGATGATATGGTCCCAAAGGTGCCTTTTGGTGTTAATTTGTGTTCACTGGAGATGGCCATTCATTCTCCATAAAAGAGAGGGCATTAGTCGTTTGTAAAGTAGTATCAAATAGTCATCCTTCACATTTGTAACTGAAAGGGTTTAATTTTGATTTTATTGTATCATAGAGGCATTTTAATGTCCTAAAATTAGTAATATCATGCCTTATAACTTCGTTTCTTTTTCTTTACTATTTCATTCTAATACTATTTTTCCAACCGTGTATATTTACTTGAGAGTCCTGTTGACTACCAACAAATGAAGGTGAAAAATAGAATTTAATTTCAAAATATACTCTTTGGTTTGATGGGTAAAAGACAAAACAAACAAACAATAAATCGCCGAAATCAGAGAATTTACAAATCTATTCTATCACCTTTACTGTTAAAACTCTTGAATAGATGGTGCTAATGGACTCATGTCTTGTCGTTAGGAATTGATTTTTTTTTTTTTCGAACAATAAAAAGTAATATTTATTAAAAAATAAAGTATAAGAAATATCTCAAACCCATAAACATCTTAACTTAAAAGACATAAATTAATAAGAGCTGAACAGCCCTTCTTAATATATTAATACAAGAGAACTTTCAAATTATTAAAAAATTTCAACCTGCACTCTGTCCACATAAAATAGAAAACAGAAACTGAGATTTTAGGTGCTTACCGTATGGTGTCGACACTACACCCGTGTCAAGTTTCTTCCCTCCTTTGAAAATTCTTCAATGGTAAAATAGCAATCTGGTCCTTAATATTTTGTAAAATGAGCATTTAAATCCCAAAACTCAAGATTTATTCATGTAGGTCCACAAGATGACAGCTTCCTTCTTGCAATTTAGTTCCTAAACTTTTAAAAGATATTCATTTGCACCCAAAAACTCCTATTCTTATGCATTCACGTCCTTTTCTTTTCCACCACCCTGGATGGACTTCAAACACACGACAGGGTTTTGCACCCAATCCAAGCTGGAAAACATACATCCAGCAACTCTTCTTCTAATCCAGAAAAATGTCCGTATCTGTATAAGGTCAAAAAGCATTTCCACAGTGACTTCTTCTTGTCTGAAAAAATTTCCATTTCTTGCTAGCTATACAGTCCATGTGAGGCCAAACCAGATAACTTCCCAGCCTTGTCTAACCCATTTATTTTTTGAGATGAAGACATGATGTAGAAAAAGCCTCTCTGCACTCATTATGAATCACGGAGCTCACTCCCCACCAATTTAGACATTTGCACCACAATTTTGAAACAAATGGGCACTTCAAGAACAAATGATTTGAATCTCAAGTGCAACCCCACAAAAACCACACAAGGCTACTGAGTCATCCTTTAGAATGCCCCTTCTCTTCAAATTTGTTTTAGTTGGAACCCTGTTCAGCAGTAACATCCAGTTAAAGGCGCATACCTTGTTTGGAATGTATTGATTTCAAACTTTTCTGAAAATTCCGGCATCCTCCTCTCCTTGCTGGTCTCTTAACAACATGTATCCTATCTTTGCTGCATATTTTCCGTCCTTGGTATGTCTCCAGCGCCATGCATCTTGTTGTCCTCTGGCTAAAGTAACATTGTTCACCAACCCCAAAAGTTCCTAAAGCTTTTCTTCTTCCCATGAAAGCTGACTTCGTCTCCATGTTAGTTTCCACTGCCATAAGTTATTGTGCCATTCCCCCATTTGCTGGATTGACTTGTTATTTATCTACCGCGGCAACCGATTTATATAGAAGACTGCCTTGTTCTCTGTAATCGTAAGGTTATTATCTTCACTTTCAAAAATCTGGTTTATGAACAAAATTTTCTCGTGTGACACGGTAAGTTCCGCCTTCTTGAAATGTGCTAGCTCGGAAAGTTCACGGACAGATTTGGAAATTTCATCCACACATTTTACCATCTCAATGAGAATGGAAGCAACCGAGGTAGTAGGTACGATTGCTAGGGGGTTTGTAGTCTTAAATGAGACATTTTTCAGAGCAATTTTGAGGTTTCTAACTGAGGATTTGGATTTCTTCAAGTGAATGTAGGTTAAGGACTCATGTGGCTAATTCTCTTAATGTCTTGCCACTTTCTGCACTCATATTTTTGCATGATTCTTTAGTTTTACTTTGAAAGTCTGGTGATGCCTGCAGTAGAGTAGAACATAACTTAGCAAACAAATTAGATTTCGAAGCAAAAATTTTGAGAAATATATATTTGTACTTTGTTTGGGCAAAGAAAATATTTTAATTAGCATTGTGATCATAATTTCATGACATTACCTTGGCTCTAGGTATCTCTTATAGGATTTTTCAACGACGAAAAACTTAAATTTTTATGTTAAAGATTTTAAATTTAAATATTTGAATGGGAGGAGATAGATTTAAAAAGAAGATAATCATCTTTTATTATATAATTTAACATTTAACTTACTAAAAGCTTTTTACTCTTTCTTTGATAATGGTAGTAGTAAGGATGAATTTTATGAATAACATCACTTACAATTCGTTAAACTATGACATCAAGTAATTATTTAATAATTACGAACTTGTTTTAGTTGAATATTTTAATTTGATGACATGATCTAATTTAAAATGTGTATATATATATATATATAAAAGTAGCATATTTCCTTTTTCCCCTTATGGTTAGGAGTTTCAGCCTTTTGCCCCCAATACATAAATATGTATCTCATAGTCCCCTATTATTGGTTCTCCATCAATCATAATATAGGGCGCTTATTAACACTATTATTGCCCCCTATAAACAAAAGCCTATAATTAAAGACCTTATCTTCTCTGATCACGTGCATTTCTTATTCTCTTTAGGAAAATGATTGATATACATTAAATTTAATATATTTTTTTGACATTTATTTCAATTCAATTATTAAAATATAATATAAATATAATTGATTTAATCAGTTCATATATCTTATATATATGATTACAATTTTAAATTTATTTATTTTTAATTTTATATTAAAATATAATAATATTTTAATAAATATATTATATAATTTGTTGAATCGAAATATATACTAAATATTATCTATAACTTTAACACTAGACATTGACCCTAAAATATGTATAAGGGAGAAAACCAAAACTTAGTATTAGAGGGGACATGGGTTCAAAACAAATAAAACTTTCCTTTGTCGGTTGTTAATGTATATTTTTTCATTTATAAATCACAAAGAATATGAGTTATCAAAACATTTAAGACAATAAGCTCCATTTTAATTCTTCTTATTGAGACCTTTTCCTTTCCGTTGAAGACTATGAAGTAGCATCTGAATATCAGAGTCGATGTGGCAATTAATAGCTTCAATCAGTGCAGCACATTCTCGAACAAGGGCTCCAATCTTCAAGTACAGCTCCCATGGATGAAAAAACCTGAACTTCCCGTGCCCAATTCCCATCTGGCGAAATTTGCCTGCAGAGATTTAATTTAATTGATTAAGTTAAACATATAATGCTAAGGTAAGTTAATTTATAGAGGACACAAAGGTTGTATCAACTAACCAACATTTCTTCTTTGCCCTTTGAACTTAGAACAGATTTATATCCTTGAAGAAATGACTTATCTTTCCTAGTCTTCACAATCACATCATAATTAGAAGATGGAAAATAAACACTTCCAAATCCTGCATATTTTTGTAATTAGAAACAATTCAAAAAAAAAAACATTAGCATGTTCGTAGAAATTACATAGACTTGCTAATTAAGCATTATCTTTAGGTTAGTTGACTCAAATTCAAAACCTCAACTTAGAGTTAGAAAAGATAAAATTACCACTCTAACCTCAAACATTAATTTCCCTAGAGATTAATTAGAAAATAACTAGTGGAGTTATATATATTCTTTACCTTCTAGGTAGTTTGCAAGCTTTTCTAGATTGGAAGCAGCCGAATTGTGAAGATCTTCACCAGCCCACACCGGATAGATGAAAGTCGATATAATAATACAGGCCGCTCCTCCTATTAGTACCATGCTAGTCTTTCCCATGCTACAAGAAAGTCACTTTCAACTCTGACCTCAGAGACAGCAACCAAACTAAATGTCAATATAAAAACCATCACGCCATAACCATATCTAGCCTTAATCATGGGAAAAAATCGTGTGAATGTACCTCCTGCAGCTGCAAAAACAAACCAATTTGAATGAATGCAAGATTTTCTATAAGGTCCTAAGGACCATTTTGGTACTAGTTAAATCTCAGTTAAAGTTAATGTGTCACGTCATCAAATGATTATGGACACAAGTTGGAACATGATTATTTTTCCTCAAGAATTTATACCTATCATGAAGACAGAGATTCCAATGACAGTGGCTTCTGCTTTCTCAGTGCCACAGATATTGCCTATGAGGTTTGCTAATTTTGCTGCTCCAAACGCTAGTGCACCAGCCAGAAATGATGCTAAACCTCTGTTTAAACCCTTGCTTATAGTTCCACCTGAGCACAATTAAAACAGAGGTTAACATAGTCACGATTCAAATCGAAGGCGTTGGCCAGTAGAGTTGGTAAAGTCTTTTCTGACACAACTTTGATTGAGGCGAATTACCTGCAGTATATTCGAATACAACTACCACAGTAATCACTGCCCATATCCCATTCGACTTAAATGTATGGTAAAGATTATGGTCATAGTATATGAATGACACCAATGTGATGGCAAGTGCGACTTTGATAGAGTGCTTGACTCTTCTTGGATCATCTTTTCCCAACTTTATGTAGCTTTCCAGGATCGATAAAACCTTTTCCTTGGACTTACTGATAATGGTTTTCATTGCTGGGTTTTCTTGAGCGATGGATGATTCCATCTAAAGGAGGAAGGAAAGAAAAAATCATATGAAGTTTGCTGCTGTCCATACGGGCCTTTATTTAGAGAGAAATTAATGCCGGACTAATTTATGAATCCCAGGCATTTTCCAGTGGGTGAGAAGAGCAATTCTATTTTTCAAAGGACCATATCGTTGAACATCTAAAATTTAAGAAGCATGGACTAACCAGACCCTTAACGAATACCTACCGCCGAGTTTTTAGATTCAAATTCCACCACCTCAATCAGTTACATTTGATGTCACCAGAATTTTTTAGATTCAAATTCGTCCACCCCAATTAGTTACATTTAAAAATTAATTGCTGATAGTTTAATATTTGATAGTTTGACGCAAGCACAAAGGTAAACAATATTAGATCACGGTCACAATAGAATGATGATGAAGTAAAGGGTAAAGTACGTAAACCGTAAGAGAAACTAACCATATATGATCAACCTATCGTTGTATACATCCATGTACAAGTATTGTATGTATAATAAGATAAGGTTAAAGCCTTGGTGTCAGATTCATATGAAATTGTACCCTTCATATTGTTCAAGAGTCCTGATAAAAAAAAAAAATATTGTTCAAGAGTCACTACAAGAAAAATGATTTTTAGTGACAAAAATTTGTGATGAATTTTGAAATCATCATTATAACTTATTATAATTGTGACAGATTTAAAAAATTAGTCACAAATGTATACATATTTAATGATGAACAAAAAAATTTATCATAAAAAATATATTTCGTCCCTGAAAAATGTTTATAGAGATAAAATAAACTTTTGTCGATAAAAATCATCACTATAATGCATTATAATTATGGCAAAATTCTAATATTGGTCACATTTACCTTACACATTCAATGATGACCAAATAATTTATTACTAAAAAATATATTTCGTCACTAAAAACTGTCAATTTTTTCTAATCAATGCATCCAACATCGATAAAAAACACATAAGAGAATAAGGTTTTGCACTATAAATATATCCCACATCGATAAGAAATATTTAAGAAAATAAATTTTTGCACTATAAAACATGTGAAACTCAATAAAACTTGAGAATAGTTTGGGCCCGATTAATTTTAATTGAGTTTGATTAATTTTAATCAAAATTAATTAGTATTGAAATAATAATATTTTTTATTAAACTTTTGTGATAAATTTATATATTATTTTTTTGTGACAAAATTTTTGTTAAAATATTTGTGTTATAATTATATAAATATCTTTTTTATTTAATATCAATTTTAATAATTAATGACTAAATTTTATATCATAATTACATTTGTAACGAATATTTTTTTGTGACGAATAAAATTATTATAAATAACTTGTTAACAATGTTAATTTTTTCTATTATTATAAAATTATTTTCTATGACAGGTGCTTAATTTGTCACTAAGAGCATTAGTGACAATGGTTTTATTAACGATTTAAATTTTATCACTAATAATAATTTGTGATGAAAAATAAAGATTTAATGATCAATAATTTAGTTATTAAATGTGGATTTTTTTGTAGTGAGTTTAAGGTAGGTAATTGTTTGTAAAGGAAAATAATTAGTACACATGTAGTTCCATACACTTTTTAACAAGTATTTCAGTCTTGATTACAAGAAACTAACCATATATGACCAGCCTAGCATTGTATATATCCACATATAAGCAATTGTGCATATAGTAAGATAAGGTTAAAGCCTTGGTGTCAAATTGATATAAAATTGTACCCTTCAGATTGTTTAAGAGTTTAAGGTAGGCAATTTTTTGTAAATTATCTCCAGACATTAATTATGCTTCTTTCTAGCAGTGAAAAACAATTTGAATAATTTTAAAGGCCAAGACAGAGAAAAGGTAATGAATGCAACCATCGAAAATCTAATTTTGTTGTGAGTTTCTCCTTTGGGCCTTCCCTCCCCGTGTAGGAGCCTCCTTTCCCCTTCTTGTTCTCGAAATTAATGTTTTTTTCTCTTTGTTTTTTTTCCTACGTTCTAGTGGTCTTTGTCTCTTGTTGATTAGGTGCTCAAGGGTTTGTGAGGATTGAGGCTAAATCTCGATTGCTCGTCCAGTTTCACCAGCAAGTTGTGCTAGGGCTAGTGCGACCAAGGGGGGGGGGTGCACGGGGGTGTTGTGTAGTGGTTTATTCTTTTGAAGGCAATTTGGTCTTGGTTCGAGCGCCATTGATGTAGGGGTTATGTGGTGCTGATACATGGTGGCGAGGTTGGAGGGTTAGACTTGCAAGAGGAAGAGCTTCATCCTCTATTAGGGACAATTCAATTAACAGATGTAGAAGATGAGATCTCATAAACACATGAGTGACATACGTTTGACCAAGAAAAAGCGCGATTTGTGCTTGTTATGAAAAGTTCTAACAAGGATGGAGGTGGACCTTCTCAGGAATGACATTCAGTGAGTTGGGATGTTTTTGCCAGAGTTTTTGCTTTCCCTTGAAGCTAGCATAGTAGATGTGATAACTTGGATGCTTGAGACACTCACAATGGTAATCTCTATTGTTGTAGCCCCGTTATTGGCTCTAAAGTGATTGCTCTAGTGATATTTAGTAATACTTTGCTCTTTTCATTAATTAGTTACATACGTCCATAAATTTTTTTCTTATTTTGAATTGTATAACAAAAGACAAATCTCTAATATCTCTTAATTTATCTCACTTGTATATCATTTAATTCAAATTTAAGATCTTTTAATTTTATTAAAAAAAAATTACTATTAAACTATTTATATTATTCGTTCATGAGCAAAACCTTCTATTAATAGTTATGGCAGGTTTTAGCTTCTTTATGCCATTGAGGCACCAATATTAGGGATTATTAAAATAATCTCTTCATTTACTAAAACTACATAATTTTTTATAAATAAATAAAAATCAAGACAACTTGACGCAAAATTAAGTTAACCGGGCATGAAACTTGGCTTGTAAAGTGGTGAGCATTTGTAACTTAGGGGTTCAGTTCAGCCACATGACATCTTGATGATCAATAAAAAACACGTGGCATCTTCGAATACATTCTCAAAATTTTAATTGAGAAAATATAACGTTCATATTCTACTCTTTATATATATATATATATACACATACAGTCCATATGGCTAGATCATATCAGATAGAACGTAATTCATATTGTTGTTCTAATAAATAAAAAAAAAACATATATACGGACCAAATTGTGAATTAAAAAATAAAGAAAATATCTTTTTAACGTAATTGATATCTAGGAGAGATTAAAATTTTTCGAAAACAGATGATTAGAATGTTTAAAAAAAAAATTATATGCTGATATCAAACCAAACGTACTCATTAGAACAAATAACAACCATCAGCCACTATCAATTAATAATTTCGTGCAATTATTTTATGAATAAATAATTTGGAATAGGTAATTCATCGAGTTAAAAGAAGAAAATCTCAAGTTTCTAGCAGTTAATTCGTTCTAACATTTAACCACAGTTGGTGTGCCAGAAAAAAAAAGTACATTTTTTAAAAAGATAATTTGTTTAAAATTAGCTGTTCATTTTTTAAAATATTATTTAATATGTTTATTCACTTATGTTTTATTTAAAAAAGATAATTAAAACAAATATTATAATTAAAATATTTATTTAAGTAATAGCTAATTAAAAATAAATATAAAATGTTATCAATTAATTATTAGGAGTACATCTCTATTTTATTAGAGAAAATTTTAAATAGATAGAGTACTTTTTTTAAAAATTTATTTTAAATTGCAAAATAAAAAATAATTATTTTTTATTCTTTAATTCATTCTATAATATATCATATACCTCGAATACTTAAATGAGAAATTATCACTTATAACTGTTCACGATATACTTAAAAGAGAGATTATTACTTATAACTGCTTACATGACGTGGGGGCGCATGGGCAACTACTAATAACTTAAATGAAAAGTGGCAACAAGTAGTAGAGAACTATAACCTTATATAATTTTAACAATTACATGGTTGCAGACTGCCCCTACTAATTAAAGCTCGTAAAATGATGTCAATTACAATGTTTCTGCCTTATAATTATAGAGTCCGCGCTGCTTTCGCTACCCCCCCACCCCCCCTCTCCCCCCCTTTTTTTTTTCTTGTAAGGCTTTCTAAGTATTTTATAGTACATTATCATATCAAGAAGAAAAAGTATTTATAATGGTACGTCGTCCATGTGTATCAATTTCTTTTGAACAATATATCTCCTTTTTTTTTAGAGGAGTGACATAATACCTTTTAATTAACATGATTTATTTGGATTTATTTTTTTTAGTACATCAAAAGATTAATTATTTTTCAATATAAAAATTTGAATCTCTAAACCATGAACCAATGCATCCGGCCTTTACTTATTGGCTTCGATAGAAAAATAAGTAAACTCCAATATCAAATATATTAACATCCAAATCCAACATAACACATGCTTTTTTAATTTTTAATAACTGACCTGTGATTGTCATAGCATTTTGATTGTCATAGCGTTGATCCTTCGATGTCACATAAGATTTTTCTACCAAATAGTTTAATTAAGAAAATAATCAAAGCAAATTAAGGTAAGATAGTTATAATTTTGTTTCAGTGGTAAAAAAAAAAAAAAATGAGAGAGAGAGGTAGAGAGAGAGAGAGAGGAGCAGGAGGAGGACAGAGAACACGGGCAACATGGACAACATGGAATCGGAAGGATGCATCATCCAGAGGAGGAAGCCAACGGAGAGGCCAGGAAGAAATCAATCAGTATCAGGGGGAACAAGGGCATCAAAAGAACAGCAGGACACAAAAGTGGGGATTCTATGATAAGGGGCTGTATAAACAAGCCATCCCTTATTTCTTCACAAATTTTCCTGAAGAGTGGAGCTATGCAGATATGTGGAGAACATTCCTAAAATTTGGACGGGTATATGATATATACAGTCCAAACAGGAAAAGCAGGAGCGGGGCAAGATTTGGGTTTGTCAGGTTTCTCAATGTGCATGACAAAAGAGAACTAGAGAGACAGCTTGACCAGATATGGATTGGAGACTGGAAACTTTGGGTCAACTTTCCAAGGTACGATGATGTGAAGAAGGAAGAAAAGAAGGAAGGAAAAGGGCAAGGATCAATTCCGAAGTATCAGAGCAGGAGCTATGCAGAAGTATTAAGAGGAAATGGAGTTGGAAATGCGGAAGGAGTGAGCAAGGGGCAGTACAGAACAGAGCTGTTGGAAAGAGGTGAGAACAGGAAAATAGAAGGTGTTGGAACAGCAGAAAACAGAAAAGTATGGAAAGAGAAAGGAAAAGGAGCAAACTGGACTGGAATGGAATACAATATTAAAGAAGAAGAATTTGCATGGCTTGAGGGTTGCTATGTGGGGACAGTTCACTCAGTAGAAATGGTCAGAAATTTGCAAGAGAAATTCTACATGGAGGGGTATTTCTATTGTAGAGTTCGTGCAATGGGGGGCAAGATGGTTTTGCTGGATTGTGAAGAAAAAGAAGAGTTAAGGGATCTAGTAGAAATGGCTGCTGAATGGCTTGCACAATGGTTTAGTGAAATCAAACCGTGGACACCAGAATTGGTTGCTAAGGAAAGGTTTGTGTGGATCAAGTGTCATGGGGCACCCCTAAATGCTTGGAGGAGTGATTTCTTTGAAAAAATGGGAAGCACTTGGGGGAAATTCATCTGCTTAGATGACAGCACAAGCAACAAAAGAAGATTTGACGTAGCCAGATTCTTGATCTCAACCCATATTATGGACTCAATCTCAGTCACACGCCAAATTAAAATTAATGGCGTCCTTTACAATGTTAAATTTAAAGAGGAAGAATTTACCAACAATTTCTTCTCTTTAAAACAAGATTTCTTGCCATCATTCCACAGTGGGTCGGAGGAAAATGAATCCTGGTCATGGGATACAGACATGGACAGCATGGAAAACGGATGCAGAAAAACCAAAGAGCCGGCTGTAGAACTCAACTCAGATGCAGAGGAGGAAGATGATGAGGTGGCGGGTCATAGGGGTATTAACGGAAATAAGCATCAGGCACAAGAAGAGGAGGCTGCAGACAGCATGGAGAAATTTCAAAATTCAAACAAAGGAGCAGGTAGTGTAGACCGGCTGGAAGAGACGCAGGGACATGGGGAACGAACAGCATCGTCAGTGCATAGGGAACGGGCAATTTCAGCAGAAAAATGGGAAAAAGAAGGGGTAGAAATGGGTCTGGAAAAGCAGGACATAAAGAGGACAAAAAAAGGGCCCAAACCGTCAAAAACAAGGAGTGTGGATGAGGAATCAACTGCCTTGAGCTCGGCCCAGTCGGTATCAAGCCCAATAGGACCCAACAGAAATGAATGTTCTAGAATTGAAGAAACAGAGCATGAAATTACAGAGGAGGAAGATATTGACCTGTTCTGGAAAGGATTTGAAAGTGAGGAGGGCCGACTGAAGCAGTGGATGGGTCGAAGGGCAGATCTGAACCGGACGGGGAAGAAGAAAAAGAAGAAGACTCGTTCTTGTAGATCAATTTACTCCATAGACCAGGTAGAATCTCTTGCTGGTGCGGAGGATCAAAGTGTGAAGAATCAAGGAAAGAAGCGGACAACTGAGTTGGGGAAGAAGACGATGCCGGCGTTAAGTACATCTTCCGGCAGTAGAGCGGCTGGGATTTCAATAGGTGACACAGAGATCAGGAATTGCAACAAATTAGCCGAGAGAAAGAGACAAGACCAGCAACCGGCAGATTTATGGGATTTTGCAAAGAAGCTTGGGGTAGTGGCTATGGACGAACAACAAATTAAGAAAAGAATTGAAGAAATGGAGAAAAGAGATAAAGAGGAGAAAGCAAGCATGTTGCAGCCGGAGGAAGCTAGCACGAAGAAGGTAAAAAAGAATTTCAATGAATCTGTTGTCCTTTAACTGTAGAGGACTTGGAGGGGTTGGGAAGAAAAGACAGATTAGAGAATTAATTATGAAAGAAAAAATAGAATTTTTGGCTATTCAAGAGACAAAAATGGGGAATATAGATATGAGTTTTTGTAGAAGGTTATGGGGGACGGATGATTGTGACTGGGTAGCGAAGGCAGCTAATGGATTGGCAGGAGGATTGCTCTGTATATGGAACTCAAAAGTGTTTAGAAAAATTGAAGTGATAGAAGGGGACAATTACTTGGGGGTATGCGGGTTATGGGGTGAGGATGACACTGAGGTGTACATAATAAATATATATTCTCCATGTCAGTTGGCAGGCAAAAGGGCATTATGGGAGGATTTACAGAAACTAATCATCAACAAGGGGGGTAAGTGGTGCTTGGCAGGAGATTTTAATGCAGTGAGAAAAATAGAAGAAAGAGCAGGAAGCAGGGAAGTTACCAGAGAAATGAAAGAATTTGATGAATTTATTCAGAATACAGGGCTTATTGATTTACCTCTGGTGGGGAGGAGGTATACATGGTATAATTCTAATGGGAAATACATGAGCAGAATTGATAGATTTTTGTTGACAGAGGAGTGGATTCTGAAGTGGTGTGATATGAAACAATGGGGTCTTAATAGATTCGTATCGGATCATTGTCCCATTTTACTAAAAAATGAGAAGATGGATTGGGGACCAAAACCATTCAAATTTTTTGATGCTTGGCTTGACCAACCGGGGTGCAAGGAGATTATCAGGGAAGTGTGGAAGTCTACCATAGTTAGGGGATGGAAAGGGTACATACTAAAGGAGAAGCTGAAGAGAACAAAGAAAGAGCTGAAGGAGTGGAGTAGAAACTCTGTGCTAGAAGTGGATAAGAAGTTAATGGAAGCTGAAAAGGGGATTGCCATAATAGATGAAAGAGGAGAGAATTGTCAACTATCAACACAAGAAATTGATCAAAGGAGAAATTGCTTCATAGAGTTGTGGAAGAACTTAAAAATCAAAGAAAGCATGTGGCAACAAAAATCCAGAAGAATGTGGTTAAAAGAAGGGGACGCGAACACAAAGTATTTCCATAGATGTGCGAAAGGAAGATGGAGAAGGAATGAAATACTTTGTATTCGCATCAAAGGCGTCCAGCATACAGGGGTGGCAGAAATAAAGAATGAGGTGGCAAAATACTTTGAGGAGTTATTCACAGAAGAGAAATGGGAGAGACCAAAGCTAGATGGCGTTGGTTTCAAGAGGATATCTGAAGCAGATAATGACATCCTCATTGCAGCTTTTTCTGAAAAGGAAATTAAGGAAGCAGTGTGGGAATGTGAATCTTCAAAGTCTCCAGGCCCAGATGGTTTTAACTTCAAATTCGTAAAAGTCATGTGGGAAGACATTAAATCAGATGTTGTGGAGTTTGTGCAGGAGTTTCATGAGCATGGCAAGATAGCTAAAGGTTCAAACGCTTCTTTCATAGTCTTGATCCCCAAAGTGGAAAACCCCCAAAAAATTGAAGAGTACAGACCCATATCACTCATTGGTGTCATGTACAAGATCTTAGCTAAGCTTCTTGCAAACCGTCTGCGGAGGGTGATTGATAAGGTGATCGGGGAGCAACAAATGGCTTTCCTCAGGGGCAGACAACTAGCAGAAGGGGCTGTGATAGCAAATGAGGTGATTGATGAGGCAAAGAGAAAGAAGAAGAAATCCTTCATTTTTAAAGTTGATTTTGAAAAGGCGTACGATAAGGTATGCTGGGGCTTCATTGATTACATGATGTTAAGAATGGGTTTCTGTGAAAAGTGGAGAGG